GTTCAGCAGATGACAATGTGAACGTTTTAACATTCATTGCATGATGTGAAAAACCACAGAGTATCATACACGTGTATAGCGGATACACGTATGTCGCATTTCTGATTTTTCGTAGATATATTTATATATACGTGCGTGTGTATTATATCGATATAGTTACCTCTGACAGTCAGTGTACTCCTTCGGTGAATATATTTTTTCTTCTCTGTCTTTAACGGAATACGTCACGACAAACATCCACGATGCACGTAATAATTAAACTTAAGAATTATTATAACGCTAAATTTTAAATAAACCACTTTTACAAGTACGATGTCGCAAAGGATATACCATTTCTACTGTGAAGAGACGAACTGCGATTCGATGAAGCAATAAGAGAAAAGAATTACTATTTTTATTTGCTGAATGAACATTAATTAGAAGTATGCATTTATTTGTTGAAGTAAGTAAGAAAAAGAGAAAAGTAGCTACGAATTAGAACGAGAAACATATCTTTATATAAGAAGAATAAAATGTAAAAATAGAGAACATCGAATCACGATCACACCGTGTCTTGAAGTTCAAACCTCTTCCTTAATCCAGCCATCAGGCTCGTATTCGTCACGAGAATAATAACATCGTTACTGAAGATCACTGACAATGATAATACCGGTAGCACCGTGCTTTGGCCCGACTGTTTCGCGTTCAGTGGCATTTATGGTGTCATAGACACGCGAATAGCCGCTAAATTACACGCCACGTGCAACGAGTGTGTTCCTTATGCGGTCTTGAGCGCAGTCATCCTCGTCGGAAGAAGCTATGCACGTGTGGACACTGGACGAACACGTGCAGTCAGTGTCTTCCAATTGTTGCGAGAGTTTTTGCGCAGACCACCTGCGGCATATTTTGAAAGAGGATGCGTTGATTGAACGTCTCGAATTCTCGAAACCAGGACTGCCGTTCGTATGATGAAATTAATCGCCGGTCGATGTTCGCTTGTTAAGTACCAAGCGCTAGATTATTAGGATAGTAAGAGCTGCAGCGACGTGCAGAAATTTCTCGCCTAATGGACCTCTCGTTTTGTTCTTTCAGAAACGATGGTTTAATCTTCGAATCTTCGATATGTCGATATACCTGTTTCGGAAGAGGGTCCATTTTCTTCAGTCGCACCGTTGGAAACGAAGTTTTAGGCTGCTGGGACCAAGCAATTGTCGGCCAGTCTTGACACTCTGTCCCATTGGAAGGATTCGGTATGTCTGTAATTACTCTTCCGAGGCAGCAATAGAAAGCTACTATATTATATTCTATCGTAGAAGATGAAGATGCTATATTGGACTCTAGCTTCGGAAGAGACACGGAAGATCCATTTAGCTGATGACTTTTGCACACCACTGTGCACATTTTTCTATCGTTGGTGATGTTTTCGTGGTAGGAGGGTTGAGAGAATAGCTGTTCGGTCGCTGTTACACGAAAGGATATATTTTAGGAACTAATTAGCTTTAGCTGTCCAAACGGGTTCCTCCAAAGCAGCAATGCAATTTGTGTATCGTTGATATAGCCCCAGGGAGCAAAATTAATGCGTATTAGCGATCGAATTAAATGCGTTACGCCATATGACAGGATATCGATTACTTCGGGAGTCCAGATGTCGAGTGTCATAATCTCGCCAACCCCGATAGTCGATTCTTAGGGTCGAGGTATCCAGTGAAATCGAAATTCGTTGGTTTTATACGGTTATCCTTGTTGACATCCACGATGAAGTTTTCCACGTTGCGGCTGAACGAGAAATTAGGTCGTTAACTAGAAATGAATGACACCGAAGCAGGCTAGAAGGTCACGTGGGCTGCTCCATTTCAGTCTTGCAACATAATCACGCACACGTTTCGAGCCTAAACATACACGAGCTGTTTAATAGCTTCACGATGGCGTAAGAAACACGTCAGATACGTAACACAGATTAGACCAACGATCTTTGGTAATTATTCACGCTCTTACAGTTGTCATATGTAGCAAGCTCTTACCATTCGAGGGTTCAGATAAATCTTCTTGGTCTCGTTAGCTTTTGTCACCCTTCTGGACTATAATCTTCGTTATCTGGTATCTGATGGCCCTCTTTTAATTATGACACTGGTTCTCCGTTGATTGTACAAAGATCGAACAAGTTTAGGGTTATAAACCTAACCTCTAATCCTTTATAATCCCCTGATATTCTGTGTTATTTTATTACGTCAACGTAGGCATGCTACTTAATTAAGAGGATATGAAAGTAGAAGCATATTTGAGTAGCGTTTTTAAGTAGATTCTCGACTATGAACCCACTTGGGATGGTTTGAACAGCAAGGGATCAACTCTTGGCAATTTACTGCTACGGGGTAAAGAAATTATTTCATAAAACATCTCTTCA